AAATGTAATTCAACACGAATGTGAAATAGCTGATGCATTGTGCATGGCTCCTCTGTGTGTAGACAGGTGAAAGTTCCAATTTCCTGAGGCCACCCAATGGGCATGACCTGGGTATGGTGGTGCCTGGGCCATTGAAAGCTCGAGTATTTATCAGCAGGGGATATAGGTCCCAGAGCCCACAAGAACACTTATAGAAGGGAAGTGCTGATCAGAAGCCGAATACTTGAGGCCCTAAAATAACCTTTCCAGCATGCTATTCTCTCTCTCACTCCCAGCTGAAATGAGAATAACATGGAAGCCTAAGGAACCATTTGTCAGCTCTGGGTTTTGTGCTTGAAATTTCTGATACCCAAAGGCCAGTGGTATTGATCTATGAAGAAAAAACTAGACTCTCTTTATTACTGTATTATTCATTCCTAATACATTACTTATTACAGAGAGACACTCATGCATGAATGTCCAGACTACATAACTGGTGGGCCCAACTCCTGCCACTTTGGCAAGCAGTACACCTCCATGTGGAGGACATACATCATGATGGTCAATGCCACTAACCAGATGGGAAGCAGTTTCTCGGATGAACTTTACGTGGACGTGACTTACATAGGTAAGGGGAAGGAAAGTGAGTGAGACATTTGTTACTCCATTATGTATTAGCCAATAGTCACACTCAGTTTGAGTCTTCTTGGGTTTTGGATGGATCCCCAAAAGGAGGATGAGAAAACTCATAATATGTTTGTCAACTGAGCATTTCAAATCATGTTTTATCGAGTCATTTATGACACTAAGGCTGGCACTTGGGATCCTTGTGTTCCTGTGCTTTCCCTTGACCCTCATCCTCTTGCACTAGGGAACAAATGTTCTAAGTACGTTCCCCTTGCCAACCCTTCTTTCTGGCCCTCCCCTTGCAATCGATATCCCCTTCTTCCTTGGCAAGCTGGGATTTCTTTCATTTCTCCTCATGGAATACAGAGATGCTCCAGGAAGAAGAAGCTCTTAGAAGGGTTCATCTGGTTCTGCATCCACAGCAATTGCTCCCATTGCTTTGCCCCAAACTCACATATGTGTGTGTGTGTGTGTGTGTGTGTACACATACATGTTGCATATATGTGATATATATATTTTTGTGTGTGTAAATATATATATACACACCGTTGGTAATTTTTTTACTAAACATGTTATTTTTATAACATAAGAAGATAATGTGAGGTGGCACCATGCAATCCTTGACAAATACAGTGTTCAAGAAAATAAAGAATGTAGGCTGGGCACGGTGCCTCACGCCTGTAATGCCAGCACTTTGGGAGGCTGAGACAGGCAGATCATGAGGTCAGGAG